CAAGACTGGAATTACCCCATTTTCTCAGATGTTACACAGTCTCCTTGCTAGGGAGAGAAAAGAATTACGCAGTAACTGCTCGAGCTCCATAACAAAGACTACTTTTTTTTTTTAAGCTGTATCAGACTCGTTCAGCCAGTGAGCCAAGAACTACTCTCTCTCATCTGGTTTAAGCATCGTTTCCCTGGCATCAACTTTTGTATATCTGACTGGCAGATGACATGTCTCAAACAGCTCTTTCATACATAACCTTTGAAAAATCATCATGCTCATCTGCTATAGTTTGAAACAAGTTTTATAGCTAGACATCTGTTTAGGTATACAAGTAAAGCAAAACATCCAGACACAGATAAGAAATAAAAATACTAGATCCAGAATCAAAAGTTACTGAATAGTGCCAGAAAATGCAGAGATTTCTTGTTTATTATGACCCAAGTTTTTGTTTATAAATGGAACAAACCTCTTTGGCTTGAGCTATTCCCCTAAATACTTGCCCTGTGAACCCAACCCGAGATCTGGAAATTTTAACTTTTTTTAATATGGTGTAATCCATTGAGAAAGCCTAACAGGAAAGGTAACTTTTATACTCTCAGTATAAGCAAAATACATATTGTTTCCCTCCAGCACTATTTTCAAAAGTCACCAAAATACAGAAAGTCATCAGCAAGTTACCACTGGTTTTGTGCAGTGAAAAGCTTACAAAGCAGCAGCGATAGGAGCTTGTATTACAACCGGGAAATCAGACTGTAGTCCTGGCTCATGCAAGTTAACTCTTACCTGAAAAAGAAGTTCAAAGCAAACAAGAACCATTTCTATTAGTCAATTGTTCTCCTGTCTTTAGCTTAACACTTTGTACAGAAGACCTAAATAGATAGATCCAGAAAGATCCTGATGCTTCAGAGTATAAACTGTGATTTTTGCCAACTCAGGATTGTCTAATGGGAAGGACACTGGTTAGATGTTATTGACCACAACTTTGAGCTTCCTGTTGATGACTACTTTACACTTACAGAGTTGGTTTTAGCTGCCCTTTTCAGTCCTTGTTAATAAAAGTGTCACCACAGAAATAAGCAGAGTAAACCAAGCTCGTTGCCTCCTAATATACTAGGATACATATATTGAAGCTATATTGATGAAATGCAATTTTGAATGCTTCCATTAAATATATTAAAACCATGACTTCAGAGATACATCAAATGTTTAAACTTTTGGTAGTTATATAAAATATGAAATTATGTTTATCACATTATTTGGGAAAGTTTGTCCTCATATTTTCTGACTTATTTTAATCATAGAATTCCAGGATCACAGAATTCCAGGATCACAGCAAGACAGACATCAGCTACAACTACCCAAAATAAAAGAGTTTAAAAAAGAAAAAAATCAAAACACCTATACTGAACTAGTGCCTAAATGTGAACACTGGCCCATTTCAGTGATGCTGCTTGTAGCACACTAGAATTCTGGGGAAGTGTCAGTGACTCATTGAACAATCTGTTCACTTTGTGAACTAGAAGAGAGTTAACCACACCACCTCATTAGAAGTATTTGCCTTGTACACAGAAATCTGTAACCTAAGAAGATCCAGGCTCTGAGCTACAGCATTGATTTAAATAATATGCCTTATGTTTCAACATTCCTACAATTATTCAATAACTAGATCTCTAAAGAGGCTATGGTTTGGCTCATAGGTAAGTCCCACCAAGTCTAATCAACAGGTTATCATATTAAGCCTTCCTTTCAAGCACAAAATTCTTCCTACATTATTTGTCAGGCAGCTGAGTGGGCTCTAAATCAGAGTGAGGAACAAGTCTTTTAGTGCCCTCTTTGCTGGAAAGGCAATAACTTGCACCACAAGGACTGTAACACACAAGCCAGAGAACAGTGAAGATTCAGAATCACTACAGCTGTTTCCAGTGTTACCACCTGGGTGTCATCTGAAAAAGCTACTGGCCCAGGACAGCAGAGTCATTCACATTCTCCCAATGTCAGTCCCCAGCTGAAAACGTTTCCAGATTTTAGCCACTCACAGAGATGGTCGAAAGTGTTACAGGAGACATGCAAGGAAGAACTCCTTCATGGGATGTTCATACAGCAGCTTGTGCCAGGAAAAAGGAAGATTCTTCAAGGCAAACTTCAGCTCAGCACAAATATCAACACATACACCCTCAAACCCAGCCTATAAATTAATGCACCAATGTGAAAATAAACTGATCAAAGCAGCAGAAGATTTAGCTTTTCAATTACTCGTAAGACATCACTATAAATCCTGGTTTAAAAGGGCTCAGTCAACTGTCACCAAAACTCAGACAAGAAAGTGACCAGTACTACCAATCCGTGTCAGAAAAACAACTGGCTTCGATCAAATCATGTATTTCTCTTTCAGGAAGGTGAAGCACTGTTTTCTCCACTAGTTCAGACTAAGACTAGTAGCAATGCAACAGAACCATTTCTAAAGGAAAGAAAACAAGTATTGTTGTACCATAAACTGCAGGCATTAAAATGGGCAGACTTTAAACTTCATACAGATTTCCAGTTGCTGCAGAGAAGTGTTCCCCAATGTTTCTAAACAAGACTCTGTTGAAATCCTAAGAGATGGAAGGGCACCCATAGCCTTCCTAAGGCCTTCAACACCCTTATTATAAAGTTCAGTGAGAAGGAGCAAAATGTTTCCCCTGCCAGTTTCTTGACCAATGCTCTTGCCTTACCTATTTTGCACATCATACTAGTTCTCCAGTGACTCTAACACAACCCTCTGGGCTTGGACACTGAAAAACCTCACATCTTTATCATGGAACTAGGAACAGTAAATGGCTCAGCACCTCATCCTGCTTTTGAAAGTTAAAGCTGAGTGTGGTTGGCTACAAATAAATCTGAAACCAAACATCTTCATGCGGGAACAGTGTGCAGGAAAGAAATCCTACAATTAATCTGACCATAGAGCAAGTCAGGCAAGTAGAACCAAGTTATGTATTGCAACAAAGGACTTCAGTCTCATCAACTTCGTACTGATAATGGTAGAGCTCTAATACAGACTGATGTGACTAGCACAGAGGTTCTTAGAACGCAAGTTTTATTTTCCTCATTACTTGACCAAATAGGTTAAGTTTTATTCTGCCTAAACCCACCTAGTGAAAAACTGTAACTAGTGTTATAGTTCAGGAACTTCAACTGAAGAATCTGCACATGCATATTAAGGCTACCTGCATTACTTATAATCTACAACAAACAGGGACTAAATGTGACAAACCAAGCATAACACTGCAACAAGCGGACTTAATTCCACTCCCAAAACATTTTGAGTTTAAGAGATTACTTTACAGGAGGACTAGTATTACTGCCTACTTCACAGATGAGTTTTTGTGGACTTGGAAGTAACCCTGAAGACTACAAGGCAAAGCTCATAGCAGTTACACTAGTCTTTAAACAGCTACTTCACTTTCCATAATCTTTTCAGCTGTTCTGTAGCAATTCACACTAAGCAGCTAGTACCTGTGTACAGCAGGTGAATTGTAAAGATGACACCATACACACACCGTGGAACAACACAAATATAACCACTGCTGCTGGTTTTTTTTTTTCTTAAGGCATATTAATACTGCAGAACTACTGAAGTTTTCTAAATCAATCTGTGTTTAAGTAGTGCATTTTCAGAAGTGAGACAGCTTGAAGATTAAAAAAAAAAGGTACCACACCTAGTAAAGCAGCAGCAGACAGTCAAGCTAGCAGCATTAACCAAGATATGCACAGGTCAATTAGTAAACACTACAGGCAAGAGCCTACAACATGAAGTTAAAGCAAGATGATGCAGCAAGAAGATTCAATGGAATGTTAACTGGGAGTTCATTTTTTTGTTTGTTTGGTTTTTTTTTTTAAAACACAAACTGTATGACATTTCTTATTTTCATTAGTGAGTTTCAGGTTCTGAATACCACAACTAAGCTTTTAATAGACTACCTACAAAAAAAAGGTAGGAGAACAACCACACACCCCTCCCCAAGCTCCAACTTGCATTAACTTAAAAATAGTTCCTTTTCAACAGTATTGCAGAGTAATCACAGTCCACACTTTTTGCTACCATGTACCAAAATAGCCGAATATTCAAGTAGGAGTTACGTACACAAACATGCAAGTTAAAAGGAATAAATGAAATGCTCCACTTTATTAAGAAACCAAAAATACAAAACTGAAGAGTTCAAGGCTTCATGTTCTCAAACACTACTGAAAAATGGTATCTTAAACTTAGTTTTGTTTACTAGCAGTACTAATATTGACCAAGATTAATCTCTATAAGATAGTGTTAAAAGTTGACATTTTCCACCATTTGTGCTGTAATAAGCTAGAGTTTCAAATTAAGAACTTGGTGCAGTTACAGTAAAGTCTCAATATTTATAAGTGTGGTTTTAGTTAATATGCTGTTTTGTAGCCAAGAACTTTTTAGCTCAAACAGCTGTTTTCTAGTTAGTGAATTTTACGATGCTTAGAGTTTGTTTAATCAGCTATAGCTCTACTGAATGATGTTCCATGCACAGATACAGCTTCAGAGTCACCTAACAGACCTAGATGCCATTTGTTTCTGGCTACTAAAAATACAGAGCTCTGTGAAAGCATTTTATACTAGAAGTTGAGAGACTGTATCTAATGGTAGCATATGCAAGCTGAACTACACACACTTTTCTCTCATGACACCCTGCAGAGCACAAGTATTCCCATTTACATGGGAATGCTGATCCAGTCACACTTACCAGTCAAGTGTTCGCTGCTTTAGTTTTACCTGGCAGTTAGTTCAGCTTTCCTCAGGTGCTTTAGTTATATGCTTCAGGAAATCAAGCAAAAGTTAACTGTTAGCTCTGATTTAGCAAGAAGAGCACAACATGAGAAGCAGGAGGGAAAAGGAGCACAGAGAATGAGAAATGCAGTAGACAACCAAATATTAGCCTCAACTGAAGAAGACACTTCGAAGCGTTTTTCCTAACAATGCATGAAAGTTCACTTGCTTAGAGATACTTGAAATACAACTTTATTATCTAAACAAAAAAGAATGAGAATGACAGAAACAAGATTTACCACTTAACACTCTGATGTGACTGCAGCAGTCTTATATTTGAAACTCAAAAGGGGAAGTAATTGCAGTCCAAAAAACAGCTAAATATGCAGGTCCAAAATATGAAGTTTTTTGTTTTGGTTTTTTTCATTTTGTTTTGTTTTTTGTTTTTGTTTTTTTTTTTTTTTTTAAACTGCCACATTCACTCCGAAGCCCATTCATCTCTTTCAGCATTCCAAAGATTAAGCACATGTTCTGCTCAGCTAGATAATAAAGTGGCAAACACGCTGCACCACTGACATCACAGGACAGTTGCCTATAAAACTAGACTTCTGACGCTGGGCTCCAGCTTCATCCCTCACAGGTCATCATCTTCATCTGGCAGTGCAGTGGTTTGAGCAATCTGGAACAAAGAAGTTACACTTAAGAACTGTTCTGCAGTTGTTTGCCCCAAGAGTCCAAACACTAATTACCAGGCAATCATTTGAGCTTTGTGCCCTATCTCACCTGTAAGTCTTGCTCATACTGTGCTGCCAGTGCTGGGTCCATAACAACTTCAGGTGGTGCAAGAGCAGGCATGGCAACGAACTCCAAGTTAGGATCCCCAATTAGCTTCCTAGCAAGCCAGAGGAAAGGCTTCTCAAAGTTGTAGTTACTCTTAGCTGAAATGTCATAATACTGAAAGAAAAAAGTACATATTATTCATTATTAAAAAAAGACTCACCTTTAACTGGTATTTAGGCCATACGAAGATTAACATGCACGTTATCAGCTCCACTTTTACCCTTTGTATTCTTTTTGACCATACAACTTCTGTTTATATTCCAGAAAACAGTTATGATCTAAGCATCTAGAAACGTACAGTTTCAGGGAAATAGGCCGAAATTGGTAATTGAAAAGTGAGGTATGCAATCTAATCAAAGCATAACTTTCAAGAGACAGTAGTGCATTGATCTTTGTCCTCCGACTTCCATCTACTTTTGTCTCACTTCTGTGAGATCTGATGAGATTCTGGGCAGTAAAAGCTAAACACACACCAGCTCTTCAAGAACTTGTCATTGCTTCTGCTCAAGACCAAAGATGATCACATTTAATATCATCGCTTCCCCCTTTCCTGAAGTTAGGTTCAGACAGCCAACAGAACATAAAGTTGAAATATTATAGCCCGTACTGACAAAAGCAGAACACTCAATTACTACACAGAACCCAGCCAGAGTCAATAGACTCAACAAGTTTGACTCCTCCAGACTCATGCCAACATACCTGGAGATTCTTCTTCCTGTGGAAGACAATGGATTTTGCTTTGACTTTTCTGTCCTTAATATCCACTTTGTTGCCACACAACACTATAGGGATGTTTTCACATACTCGTACCAGATCTCTGTGCCAATTAGGTACATTCTTGTAAGTGACTCTTGATGTTACATCAAACATTATGATGGCACACTGAGCTGCAAGAAAAGAATAGTCAAGAGTTACATCAGGAGAGCAAGCACTTGGTTATAATATGGGAAGAGAGGAGGTACCTTAGAAATCCCACATTAGGGTTACGCATCTGCATTAACTTTTACCTCTCAGCTTCAGTTCTGAGATCCCACATTCTATTAACAAATTCCATGCACAAGTCCACAGAACTCAGCCCATGGCCACATCATCTCACATCTTTAGTGCCCAATCTAAACACCAGCTAGTTTTATCAATGTAACCATCCCAGTAAGTAACATAGTGTTGCATGGCATAAGAATACACAAAGATTACAAGTCACCTTTGATTTATACACTTATTTAACTAATATCAGCCATGCTATTGAGGCCTTCAAGTAGGTTTAGAGCTTGTAGCCCACATCTCAGGATGCTCTTGTCCAGAACGCTTTTTCAAAGAACACAGAGGCTTGACTCGACCCTAATACATCTAAAGAAAAAGCAACAGTGTCAAAAATCTAATAATCCCTTGCAAAATTTTAAAGATATGCAGGTGAGAAGTACACACAGAACACAGCTTAGCCCAGCAGAAGTTAAGGGACACTATCAGTACTTTTTTAGAAAGACAACTAGACTCTGGCATGGAGACGTACAACTTTATCATCATATCTAAAATTTCAGTTTGTGTGCTCCAAGGCCTTGCCTCAGCATGGTACGTTACTAGATACAAATTTGTACTAACTGAAGCACATACTTTCACCTCTTCAACACTGAATTTCATCAGCAATATCCTGTCATTTAAAGTGCACCACTACTCTTCATTAATACTAAAGCCTGCAGTATACTGAAACACAATCTTAGAATATTCCTACACCAACACAAGTTGCCTGGCAAAGGAAATTATCACACCTACATGAAGAGTTTGAAGACCCAGAAACCAGCTCATCACTGCAAGCAGCACTGACAGCTTCCAGAGTGGCCAACACGAATAGAACACAGGATTGAACTGCAAGAGGTCCAGAATATTCCCACACATACGCACATCTTACCTTGAATGTAATAGCCATCTCGCAGGCCACCAAATTTCTCTTGGCCAGCTGTGTCCCATACATTAAATTTAATAGGGCCTCTGTTGGTATGGAACACCAGAGGATGAACTTCAACACCCAGCGTCGCTATAATAAGACAAAGCAGTGCACTTAGCAAGTCAAGAATCGCAATTCTGATTGTAACATACCAGATCTCAAATGTTTCTTCACACATACCTACATACTTCTTTTCAAATTCACCAGTCAAATGACGTTTTACAAATGTTGTTTTACCAGTGCCACCATCACCAACCAGGACAAGCTGTTGATAGATAAAGGCAAAAAAGTCAGAACAATATACTTCTAAATACATTTATTGGTCATTTTAGTGTAAATACTAATTATTACTACAAAGACCTTAGTCCTGTAAGACGCTGTAAACAAAAGACCGAATTCCCCATGAAGTGACTCACTGTAATGGTACCCAATTTGTTAAGCCTACCACACAAAAATTCTAGTCAGACTTATCTAGTTCCTGTAGCTCAAGACTACAACGCACTATAAATATGGTTCTACTAAGCTACTAGTAACTGAATTAAGAATATTTGGTGTTTTCAACCTGAAAATGACCACATTTAGAAAGGAACTCAATTAAGAACCCCAACAGGAGAAACCCACGATGATCTTACAATTAAAAAATGAACAAAAACCCAAACAACTGCAATAAGAACAACTGGAATGCTCTAGCCAAGTATTGTAAGAAACACCAGTAACAATCTTTCATGAAGCAGTCTTAAAGACTTCTGGCTGTTAAGATAACAAAAAAGAACAAAACACACCACAAAACACCAGAAAATTCTGTTTGGAAACATTAAGTTATTTTCCCCTAAACAATCAATACACAGCAGAAAACAGACAATTCTAATTCACTCTAAACACTTCTTGCACTGAACTTCACTTCTGAAACTTAAATCATTCTACAAGCATTAAATTTCTTACACTAAGCTACAAATACCATCAGACTGACACAGCGCAACAGAGTCTTTTTGTACAAGTTATATGCAATACTACAATAAAGTAACTGCACTATTAAGGAAAGACCAGCACTGCAAAACCAAACTTACCATCCACGTTGGCACTCGAGTAGTTCATGCTACTTTTCTACTGAAGAAAAAAAAAAAAAGAACAAAACCAAATAAAAACCCAAATCGCTCCCTTACCTTAAACTGCACTTGGGGCTCTCCTTGGGCGGCCATGCTGGGTCTGCAGGGGAAATGGAAGCATGTGAGCTCACAACAGGCGAGCTGATTCAAGGCCCAGCCGGAAGGGGCCGGGCGCCCTTTTCGGTTCCCAAACACCTCCCAAGGCGCGTGCTCTGCGCGCC